TTAAAATGTTTCACTACTAAATATAAATTAACCATCCCTTTCTGAGCTCTGGTTATTCATATTCACTGTGAGCAACCTATCTGGTTATGGCTAAGAAATACACACAGTAAATCTTTTCATAAAAAGTCTTAGTGGTTATTACCAGGCATTTCTCCAAAATTCCCTTCTATCCTTCCAAGCCTTGGTGTATGTCTTTATAATTTAAAATAAGTCTAGGGGTAAAAAAGATCCAATCACCATCCCAAATGTTTCATGCTTAATATCCTGTGACATATTAAGCTTTTTAATACAGAACATTTTAAATAGAAAAGTGTCCCATTATCTCAGTGGCCAGCTAATTCCTATTGCCTTTTTTTTTTTTTATAAAGGAGAAATGCAAGTATGTAGTAAGAAAATTTAAATACTGAAAGAAAAACTCAGAATAAACACTTAGAAATTCTCTTAGTCCCCCCCCACTATAGGTCTATCCTTAAATCTATATCTATTACCAACAAATTCTTAGCCTTCAGAAATGAAAAAAAAAATGAAGCTATGGACAATGCAGACCTTTCTATTTATTTATTTTTCCTTTTTCTCATGTAGCTTAGATTGGCCTCAAATTTGCAATGCAATCTAGCCTTGAGCTGTTGATCATATTTCCTGTTATAGCCTCTCCACACTGGGTACTTCAACATGCCTGGCCTAGATATCATCATGTTAATACCACACCTAATGAATGACCTGTTCGGTGGCTTTTTCCTTTTTCTTTAAGATATGACAGAAACTGGGCATAGTGGGGCACAGCTGTAATCCCAGACAGTCAAGAGATTAAGTCTAGAGGATCGCCAGTTCAAGGACAACCTGGGACACTATATAAGACATTGTCTCAAAATTAAAAATAAGTTGTAAGTTTGCAGCCAACCTGGGCTACATAATGAGTTGAGGGTGTGACTCTGGTAGAGCACTTGTTTATCCTAAGCAAGGCCTTGGGTTCAATCTCTGGTACTTAAAAAATGAAGCGTACCTCTATTGGGTTACCATTTATAGAATCATTTGTTAAAGACTTCAGGCATGCCACCATTTAGT